CATCATCATCATCATCATCATCATCATCATCATCAGAGTAATGCGGTTGCTGCGTCTTGAAGTGGAAACCTGTAGGTGTTAGACGATCGTGGAAAATAGATTGTTGAAAAAGTACAAAAAATATCGTTGGAGTGAACACGTGAAATCCCACACCAAAGCAGCAACAGTTAGACAAGCGCGCGTTTAATCGAGATGGAGGTAGTGCAAGTGTCAGCGCTCGTGAAACATTACTAACGGCCACTCACTCACTCACTCACTCACTTTAAACGAGGTGGTACCAGGTACTTGTTAGGTCTGGCAACTGGTTTCAAATTTAGGGTTGACCAAGATTGCGGTCGACGGCTAAAGGGAACATGAAAGTGCACCAGTTACAGTTAATTGTAGGGGCAGTTAGGTCCAAATATTCCACTATAAATTTGTTAAGGTGGAAAGAAGAAAAAAAGAAACATTAGTAAATAAGAAATTCTAGCTAGAGATAAATTTGAATTTCTTCCCTGCCACACCTGTTCTTCACTGTTTTTCGTGAAAAACCAAAACCACGCGTTGATGGTCGCCGGCGCCCACAACGTAAAACAACACGCAGAAAGACAGCATTAATCATAGACCAGGTTTTGCTCGCCGGAATGACTTTATTTGTTCTAGTTGACCCAATTGTGAAAAAACTCCCGGCGTTTGGCGGGATTTGAACGCGCATAGTAGGGAAGGCCTTAACCGGAAGCCAATACTCTACCATTAAGATACAAATGCCACGCTTCACACCGCGAGTTTAATCACACTTGGATCGATTTTACCCGCCCAACTTCGCCGCTCACATTGAATCCACAAATACGGAACAGCAAGTTGACTGCCCAAGCAGGATTTCCTAAGCAATCTTCTAGAATGCATCAGAATGACTACTAGGCTAACGTAATTATTAGGGGGTTTGGCAGATTTGCTTAATTCTAGTTGACCCAATTGTGAAAAAACTCGTGGCATTTGGAGGGAGGTGAGATTTCGGGCAGCTGGGCCGGCTGTCCTTTTTAAAAGCATAAACTGGTTTTATCGATCAGCAACCTGAAGGTGTGGCTGAACGTGTCAGGCGCGGGCTAATCAATTTTTCTTAGTTCTTTTCGCTTCAATGACTTGCGATATCTAGGAACCGGAAGAGTCTATTCAAATGCTGTCTGTTTAACAATGCTTCTTATGAAGCGTACACTGTTTCGCATCTTTATATTTCAGTGCGTTTTCTAAAAACATATGAGTTTATTTATGAAATCGAAAATTAACACCAAATCTTTATATCACTTAAACGAACCCAAGGTTCAAGGGCCGCCATCCTGCCCTGCAGTGCTATTATTCTGTCTCATACCCAGCATTACGAACCCATCCAAGTAATTTATTCTTCTAATCGAGATCGCATTCTTGGAAGTTAAGTTACTCTCAAACTCTCACATAGCAGAAGCACAAAGTTAAGTTTGCCTTTGATATTCCACGTTGAAGGAAGCGCCTACAAAGCGTACCTACATCCATCTTTACTTCCGAAATTCTCCGGAGGTTGAAAAAAAAAAGAAACCCTGCGTGACTCCGTCGGGCACTGGCAGTGTGGCACGGAGAAAAAGTTGAACTAGCAGGAGAATAAAAGCAAGATGACGTTTTAAAAACACACACGCACACGCAGACTGGTCTCCCGGTCGAACTGGGTGTGTGTGTGTGTTTAAAAAGAATCCAGAGCCTGAAAATGGACGACACAAATTGGTGTGGTGCTACACGAACCTGAATTCCTCCAGGGAGAATTGTTTGCCAGTCGGAAGGGGTGGTGGTGAGGGCTTTGTGGGTGAAGAAGTCTTCAATTTGGCCCTTGAAAAGGGCGAGGTTGGAGACCCAATGGAGGCCGCCGGCTTGGGGGTAGGTGATCCGTCAAGACCGCCAGCGCAGGGAGTGATGGGTGTGAAGGGCGTGTGACCGCCAATTTCATTGGTCGACAGCTGTACCGGATGCAACATCGGTAGGATCGGTTTAGGCAACTTTTGGCCATTTGATTTCACGCCATTGTTTGATTGCTGCAACGTTCAGACAAAGGGTAAACGTTAAAAGACTCCTCACACACTGGAACGTGGGCCTCATTTGTCTGACCCTTCGAAATCTTAGTAGAATCTAGCTTCAGAGATAAGAGCGGCAACAAAACACAAGCAACTGTTATAGGGAGCAGCAGCCAATCAAAAACACCAGCGACTGCGCTGGACTCGGGATGACGACATCAGATCGATAAATCGATTGACTGGGTTCTAATCAGAGGCCAAGACGTGAATTAATTATCGGTTTGCCTTCCTCTGCCGTGGGAAATTATCGTCGTGACTGTGATGTTAGACTCCTGACACGTTTCGTGCCGTGTAGGTTGGTGGAAATTCATACAAAATTCTGATCGGATCTGGACTTAGTAGTTTAATGTATACTCGGTAACGTTATTTCGATCTATTGAGCAGATTTAGCACTTAGAAATCCTTCAATTAAAGAAAACTGCGTGTCTAGTACAGTATATTTAAGGGTAATAGGCATTAATTTGGGCGAAATCGGAGGTAGTCTAATATCGAAGGTAAGTCCTATGCTTTCAACTACGACAGGAACAAACCTTTTATTTGCATATGTTGTGCTATGGCAGAACCCCAATATAAGCCAAAAGATCCCAAAAATCCAGTCATAAGTTGGCAAAAATCAGATGAAAAAAAAGGAAAAGACGAAAAACATTACTTTTACAAATTATTTTTTGCCAAGGTCTGATGCATTTTGTCACAAAACGCAAAAAAACGTTTTCTCGGCACTTTGCCTTACCGCATCAACTATTTTGGACGGTAGCCAACTCTGTGTATATACATATTATCATGGGAATTGCGGTAAAAGGTAATCTTATTAAATCTAGAGGATGTGAAAAGATGCTGTTTTGTGCAATATAAATTTTCCTTAAGCGCAATTTAGAAACGGAGCAGAGGGAAGCTTAACAATTTTCGTAGAATATGAATATATATTCGGCCACTCCCTCTTCGCATTCACAAGCTTAGAACGGATACTGAAAGTAGTCCACTATGATGAAAAATACTCCATCATAAACCGAAAGTGAGTTCTTTCATTTACAGCCCCAACTGTATCCTTTATTTTCAGGTAAATTAAAAAACTGATCAAAGTGTTCTGTTTTCACTTTGACGTTCTCTTCGAAAAAGGTGACATGCAAAAATATTCCTTAGCTGAACATCTAGTTAAATTGCCATTTAAAGAGGTAACCTATTATAGAAAGTTTTTTTAAATTACTCTTAGGTATAACAATATCAGACTTCTGTTGTGGGAGTGCTAGTTGCCCAAAAATGTGTCTTAGTAATTTGGGCACTTTATAAATATAGTCAACTTTGTCACCTTCATAAGAACTTATATCCAAAAAGTCATGTTTTCGGTGAATACTTCTAAAATATCTTTTTTTTCTAGAATTCTGATATAAATGTCGAACGGAATATGGATTTATGGAGGAAAGCTGAAAACCACTGCAAAGCGGTTGAAAATGTGCCGAAATTTAAAGGACGATCCCAAACAAATCCTAATGCAATAACAGATATATGTATAAAAATATTCGACTAGACAGAAGTTCTTTTGATACAAAGAAAACGGTATGGTTATATACGTTCGCCCGACGATTGTATATTTAAATTTATAGTTCTAAGTTATAGCCATCGTTCACGTTTGGGGAATTTAATTACTTTTTATAGTTTTTTTTTAAGTAACAAATTCATGTAAGGCTGTTTATTATCATTACCTCATAGTTTTCGTGCATTCGTCAATACCAGTTTATGAGTGATTATCAGTCCTTCGAAAATTTCGGCCTTTTGCGTCGTGACCTTACGCTCGCACTGTACGTGTGGGCAGCCGCCTTTTTTTGTAATCCATTAGGCTTGTGAAAGCGCTATTGCAATCGCATGTGGTGTTGAGAAGGGTTAAATTGCGCAAAAGCCCATCCGCGCGTGAGTCGGCGTGGGAAGTGTAACCAGTCATTGCTGGGTGATTAATTGGCAATGCTACGGGGGATTAATTCAGGCACTGTCACCGTGTCCAGAACACGCACACACATGATGACGCAATGCGCAAACATGCGTTAGACGATGGGCATGCCACAGTAGGGACAAAATAGGCGCACGCGTGAAATACGCCAAAAGAGACAGCTAACGTTATCCACCAAGAACCGCGTAATAAGGGGCAAAAGCAGCATTCACATAAACGATAATTTGAACATCGAGAAGAAGAAGAAGATCTGATTGCTGGGGCAACACTTTTATTCGCCTGACAGTTCGACATCTCTCACGAATTTTTTATCAGAGAAATAAGTAGAAAGCAGTAGCAGTTGAAGTCGTACACAGGCCGGAGGCAACCATAAGGCGACAACTAATGAAACTGAAGGACCCACTGCCGCGGCAAAAATATCTGGAGGCGTCCATAGGATCTGCTGCAGTTGCGAACAAAGCAACTACGTCGGAGAAACTGACAGAAATTACAGGACGCGACCCGGCCACACATTCAAATTTGATGAGGCCGAAATTCTTGCAAGAGGTGATAATCGTGTGAGCCGAGGATTACTTGCGACATGGTTCACGGAGTTCTATTTAATAAAAAAGTGTAACGACTTTTCTAATCCATATTCGGTGCTGAGGCTCAATTTGGCCAAGGCAAGTGGCCACTTTGGGAACGCACAGGCAACCGCGATGTCTTACGCCAACACCACGGAATCAGATAACCTGATCTCGACTACGTCGATTATATAGGTTTATTAACGTCATGCTTTGGCGATCTATAGGCTATGGTGTCACGAATGAACGAGGTCGCAAAACTGATCAGTTTTTCCATAAACGCTGGGAAGGCCAAACTGTTTTCATGCTGCATCCCTGTCCAAGAGAAGGCAGCCCCTTAGGATTAATAGCTGCCAACTTGAAGAAGTAGACGGTTTCAAGTACCCCAGAGAGAGATTGCTGCCGAATGGACAGAGTATGGATGACATTGTCACTCGAGTTGACGCAGCTTGACGAGTTTCCTCTAGCCTTCGAAAGTGCCTATAGATCCGGTGCAATACTCCTATTACCACAAAGGTTCGCGCTTACTGTGCATCTCTGCGGTCTTTTGCTCTATATGGTTGCGAATGCTGGGCTATGTACGTGGAAGATGAACGGAAACTGGAGGTATTTGACCCCTACTGTTTGAGGACCATCCTTCGAGTGAAGTACACCGACCTCGTCTCAAATCAGACAGTCGGCATCCGCTACGAAAACATCGCAAGGATATCCCCCAGGCCGTCTGAGGAAGACGAGTGGGATGGTTTGGACAGGTTCTTCGCTGTCAACCTCACAAGATCAGTGTCGCTGCGTTCGATCCGAAACCGTTACCTAGTTCGAAACGTCGATGAGGGGGTCAGCTCAAATCCTGGCTTGACTACGTCCGTCAGGATATGGAAGTGGTTATTGGACCCTCGGTATTCGGTCTCCGGCGCTAGCGAAAAGAATGGATCGAAGTGTCCAGGTGTACTGCAACGAATCGTCAGACGTGCAGAAGTACCGTCCGGGACATTATCGAGGCCGGCTAGATCATTCATGGTCAGTCGCCGCCGCAACAAGTACAAGTAAGGACAACTACATTCCGCACCCTGCCTGTACACATTTATGACTGGACTGGTTATTTCCGGAAAAAAACTCGTCTATGAAATCCCCTGTGGCATATGCGCCACGGTCTACAATGGTGAAACTGGGAAATTAGCTTCCTGTGTAGTGCATACACAGACATAAGAGAACGGTACGCAGACGAGCGACAAAAATTTACCGAAGGTAGCCATGCGCACAGGCTGGGCAAAGGATATACGTTAGGGTGGGAGAAAACTCGCGCCAGAGCTGCCTTCCTTAAAGTGCGGAGACAATGCGCTCGACCGAGTACAACATTGATATGCCGCCAAATACTCCACGAGCAAGTGACAGCAGTCGCAGTTCCTCCTATGCAAATTTTGTATACGCCTACCATCAGGAGCTTTCACCAACCAAAGAATACTTTATTAGGCAGGCATACATTCGGCGATTCTTAAACATTGCAATGTTTTTCAACGGCGACGTCGATGACCTAGAAAAGTGGTAGAAAAAGATGATAAAAATTGTCTTGTGGGGTTGTCTAAATATATATTTATCCCCACCCAAGTGTCTTACAGAATTGGTGGTTAAGCATTTAATTCTCCGGTAACGAATAAAAATGAATATTTAACTATTCTGACAGTGATCAGAGCATACCAAATTAAGGCCACTTAAAATTTTTTTAATGAGCTAAATATGATCATCCCCATCAACATGAACGCCCGTTTCTCAGGCATCTGATGTCTATTGATGGAAATTCGACCTTATATTGGCGGAATTTAACGAAAAGAGGGTAAGTCTGGCTACTGAAATAGAAAGGTACTTTAATGTTAGGAGTCAACGGCAAATATAACCTCTAAAGACATTCCTACAGAAAAATTCAAAAAGAAGTTCGTTTTCTTCCTTAACCGATTTTATCCACATATATAATGGACTTTAGTTTCTAAGTTCAACAGAGATAAA